CCGCGGATCGGCACCGCGCGGTCCTCGGCCGCCGCGGACGGGGCCGCCGGCTGCGGCTGCGGCGCCGCCGCGGCCGCGCCTGCCGGCTGCACCGGCGCGCTTCCATTGAGCACCAGCAGCACGTCCTGTTTGGTGACGCGCCCTCCCCTCCCGGTCGGAGTGACGGTGCCCAGGTCGAGCTTGTGCCGCTTCGCCAGCGCGCGCGTCGCCGGAGTCGACAGCACCTTGCGATCCCCCGCGGGGCTCGCCGCGGCCGCCGTCGCCCCCGCCGCTGGCGCCGGCTCACTCACCGGCAGAGGCGCCGCCGCCGCTGCCGCCACCGGCGGAGCCGGCTGCTCCGGCTCCGCCCCCGCGTCGCCCCCTGCGCCGTCCACCGAGATGTGCAGCAGCGGCGTGCCAACCTTGGCGATGCTGCCCACCTCGTACTCGAGCGACTCGATCGTGCCGACGTAGGGAGACGAGATCTCGACCGTGGCCTTGTCGCTCTGGACCTCGCAAATCCGGTCGAACTGATCGACCGTGTCGCCCGGCTTGACGAACCACTGCAGCACCTCCACCTCGGCGATGCCCTCCCCAATGTCGGCCAGCATGAAGGGCTGGGCGCTGCTCGGCGCCGCCGCGGCCGCCGTGCTCACAAAGGAGCGGCTGAGCGGCGCCGCCGCGAGCCGGAGGGCGTGCGGAGGCCGCGCTGCCCTCACTGCTGAGGCGCGCGCCAGCGGAGCGGAGCGTGCTGCGAGCCGGCGGAGCATACGTGTCTGTGTCACACGCTTCCGGCAGTGCCGGAGAGAGAGAGGAAGGTGGTGGCAGCCCCGGCTCGTGCCCTGCTGCCAAAGAATTTTACCATCTATCCGCGCGCACTGGCACTTATTACATCCCAAAGAATGTCTGTCGCGCGTGTCGTCGTCGCAGTGAGCGCTGTCAGAGCGGTGTTTCGACACCGATATCGAACGCTGTTCAAATTCGTCTTCTGTCCCGCGTCCACCTTTCTACCTAACCTAATCCCATCTCTCACGACTCCTGCAGTCCTGCTTGCCTGCCACGGAGCTAAGTGCCTCGCCGCCCTCGCAGGAGTCGCTTAATCTGCAGGCGCTGCGCCTGCGAAAATTTTGAAGAAATTTGCAGTCGGGCCTGATTTTCATCAGATCTTTCAAATTTGAGAGAGAGAGATTTTTAGCAATACCAAACAACTCTAACACTCACACGTCATTTGGGGCCTGGAGCCCTGGCACAATGATGTTTATGGTGGTGCCCTGTTCACGCGCGCGCGAGACGTGCAGACAGGGTTGTTTGTTTTTCAAATTTGCGGTAGTGTGGAGTTTGGGAGGTGGGTTAGGGTTAGGGTTAGGGATACCGGGTTAGGGTTAGGGGGGTTAGGGTTAGGGTTTAGGGTTGAAGGTTAGGGTTAGGGTTAGTCTTGTGGATGTGTCGGTAATGCCAGCGTTGCAGAGTTTTGCGCTGGGATCTCGTGGCCCGAGCGCCGACGAGTAAGACTCAGCCCCGCACGCTGACCCCACCAAATGCCGCCTCAGAGCGCCAGCCTTACACGCGGCCGGCGCCTCTCGCGGCAAAAGCGTCGAGCGAGCGGGCAGAGTCGCGCGATGTCTGCGCACCCGCGTGCCGATGGGCGGCACAACGCAACCGAGAGAGGCCCTTTCACGCCGCCAGTAGCGTTCCGCACACTCCCCACCCCACCCCAAATGCCGCCCCAGAGCGCCAGACACCTCTTAACACGCCACCACACAGGGATTTTAAGGAGAGGAGTGTGGTGGTGCTAGCCGTCGCCCACCCTTGGGAGTCTGCCTCTTCCTACCTCTCTTCTCAAGTCCCTCGCCGATTCTCGCTGCAACCTTCATGCCACCTCGGTCCTCGCGGACGTCCAACTCTCGTCGTTCTCCCTCCTGTGAGTCGCTTCATCCTCTGTCGCGTCACTCTCCTCTGCCTCGTTCTGCTGTGGCCTGTGCCGCCGCTGTCCGCCGATCCCTTGCTTGCTCTCGCGGCTTCTTCTCGGCGCAACTCCGCCCTCCTCGCGGCATATTTTGGCCCCTCGAGTTTATCGAGCTCTCATCGCGCAAAGGACGGCTCTTCTGACGCCCACACAAAAAATGAGCAATCTTTTTTAAGTAAAATTCTTTTTCGCACAACACTGGGCACGGGAGTTTGTAAAATTCTTTTTCGCACGGCCGGGGCCCCGCTTGCTCAGTTCCTCAGTGCGCCGGGCGCAATGGCCAGAGAAACCTGCGCTCGAGCGAGCCTGTGCCTCGAGGACCCGTCTGCCTGCGAGGAGGCGCTCGACGCGGGCGGGGTGATCCTCGTGCTACTGATGCTCCTCTTGCCGATTGCCGTCGCTTGCGGCTCTCCCTGCTTTGAAGACCGGCTGAGGCGGCTCCTCCGCCTGATGCTCCACCGGTTCGGGCGGCGCGACGGCGGCGCGGAGAACACCGCCGCGGACGACGACGGTCACGGCGGCCGCGGGCCGCGTCGCGCGCTGGCCGGCCGCTGCCTCGCGTCGGGCGCGCTCGTGCCGCTCCTCACCGTCATCTTGGCAGTCGTGCCGACCGTGCTGATGCTGCTCGCCGCCCCCGCGCCGTGCGCAACGGGTCTCGGCGGCTGCGGCTCCATCTCGTGCGTGTGCGGCTCCTACTACTCGCAGGGCTACGTCTTCATGTTTTCGACGCTCCTGCTCCTCGCGTACTCGCTGCTCTGTGAGGTGGCGCGCATCGACGGCGATCGCGACGCGCGCGACGTTCCCCGCCGTAGCGGGCGCTCTTCACGCCGACCGCTGCGAACAGGCTCCACGATGCGCGGCCGCCGTCTCCGGCTGGCGATGGCCGCGGGAAGCCTCGGCACCCTCCTGACCGCCGTCTTCCCTGAACACCTCGAGCGAGGCGGCGGCGAGTGGCGCCCTGCGCTTCCCCTCCCCCGCCCCCCAACGCTCGCCCGCCCGCCGTTCCCGCAGGCGACGGCAACTACGCCGCCGCCTTCACCGCCGCATACACACTGCATCAGCTCGGGCTCGCCGCTGCCTGCCTCCTCTCCGTCGCTGCGCCCGCCGTCGCGCTGTGGGCAGAGGCGCGACGGCCGACCGGCAGCGGTGGACGCGCCCTCCTGCCGTCTCCGCTGGAGACGCGAGGGCGCACCCTCCACCTCACCGCCGCAGCCGTCGCCTCGGCCGCCTTCTTGCTCCTCCGAGGCACCGCCGACGTGTCTGACTATTGCGCTCCGCTCACCCGCCCGGCAGAGTGCGACGCATGGCCCCCCCTCTCCACTGAGTCAGACGCCTCTGCAGGGAGACTGCTTCTGGACCGGTCGTCCTGCGTGCCACCCTATAGGCCCTCCCTCCCTCCGCACGCGTGCCGCCACGTCTCCCGCCCTCGCCACTACACCTGCGCCTTCTCCAACTCCTCCCTCTCGGCCGACGACCTGCTGCTGATGCCGCCGGGGTACGTGGCGAAGCACGCCGGCGAGTGCCGTAAGGCTCTCTCTCTCTCTCTCTCTCTCTCTCTCTCTCTCTCTCTCTCTCTCTCTCGCTCGCTCTCGCTCTCGCTCTCGCTCTCGCTCTCGCTCTCGCTCTCGCTCTCGCTCTCGCTCTCGCTCTCGCTCTCGCTCTCTCGCTCTCGCTCTCGCTCTCGCTCTCGCTCTCGCTCTCTCGCTCTCGCTCTCGCTCTCGCTCTCGGACGCGCACGCACGCACGCACGCACGCACGCACGCACGCACGCACGCACGCACGCACGCACCCTACGTGCCGTGTGGCTCCTGTCTTGGGCCGTGGAGACGTGGGGGACGGAGGTGCGAGGGATGGAGAAGTGTACCGCACCGCACCTCACCGCAGGCGCGCTGCACGCTCTTCCGCAACGTGCGCTCGATCGCGGCGGAGTTCGCCGCGCTGCTCCTCCTGTGCACCTACGTGGTGAGCCACGGCCTGCCCGACGCGCAGCGCATCGCTGCCGCGGCGGCTGCGGCGGACAGGGCGGACGGAGGAGGCGGTGCCTCGGTGTGCGGCGCGGAGCGGGAGGGGACGACACGGCCACTGGTGATGGCCACGGAGAATGGCGTGTGCCGGCGATAGACGTATGGTGTGTGTCTCAGATGCCGTGATCGGGGGGTTGTGGTTGGGGTTACTTTCCTTTCTTGTGTAGCGCTCCGCCTGGAGCTCGCGAGAAGAGAGAATACTGGGCTGGGTCTTTAGGCACGTTGTGGGGTTGGCACTCCCATCGACCCTCATGACCTCCTGCGGTCTCTGAGATGGACACCAGTGGGTGTGGGACCACAGGCAGGATACACTCGAAGGCTGGGTAAGCAGTAGAGGTCGATACTCGACGCGTCCCACATGGTCTGTGTCGCTGTCGGCACGCTGTTGACAGGACGTCGAGCGACACCGGTGGCAGTGCCACCCAGGAGTGGTCGGGCGGTCTCCCGTCATGAGAGAGCCACCATGTGATCCGTATGATGATTCCTGACAACCGCCTCAGTCAACTTTCGTCACAGTTCCCGCTCTGAGAGGAGCTGCGGGTCAGCTCGACAGCTGGAGCTGTGTCGCCGGCGTGCGGCGGCCTGCCTCCGGAGGTGCCTCTGAGGTGGACATTTTTTGGTCACCGTGAGAGAACGCGTTCGAATTTTCACTCCGGAACTTCAACTCCACACGCGCACCGGCCAGGGCTACAATAGTGCCAGTGAGGCGGAGGCGCGAGTCGGAAGGCCGCGACCGTGACTTGGTCCCTTCGTTGTCCTACAATCGCTGTCGACCCAGCCACGTAGGCGTCTTTCCTGAAGTGACGGAGGCCATGCAGGCACTACAGGGCGACGCGCAAGGGAGGATCATAACGGCTCCTCAGACCTCACCAGGGGCGCAGCAGGCAAGGAGGGGATACGGCAGACGTGGTTCGCGGACGACTCGACATTCTACCCGATCGATCCCTTCATGGGCCCCAGATGTGTGCAGACGTCATGGATATCTATTCCTGGATCAGTGGGAATCGCGTGGCGGTCAATCCGGAAGCTTGTACCAAGAGCGCCTTTGCAGCCGCGACCTGCGACGCAGAGGAGGGACTCCGCTCAGTCGCCGCCATGTGCGCGTCGCCAGTGCCTCTCCTCTCTCTCGTTGACGACTCTCACCACCGTCCCCTTAGTCTCCTCCTATCTGTCTCTAGTGTGTGCCTACTGCGTACTGCGGGGAGCAGACGGCTTCGGACGAAGCTGCCCCCAGGAGCAGGCGTTGACGGGTTTCAAAATTCTTCCCTACAATGAGGCCAACGGACCCGAGAAAGTACAAAGTTTTTTCTTGCGCCTACCTGCCCGGCACGGCTTTCCTCATCTCGACGGAACCCCAGTGCGGATCGCAGAGGCCGTACGGCCGCCCGACGATCCAGAAGGTGCCGCAGATGTCGAAGCATCGCTCTACAGGGTCAGGGGGTGGCAGCGCCTCGAAGCCAAAGCGCTCGTAGAGCCGCAGCGCCGGGTTGCCGTGGAGCACCGTCAGGGTCAGGACGCTCGACTTGCGATCGGTCGCCAGCGTCTCCGCCCACTGCAGCAGCGCCTTGCCGATGCCCTTGCCGCGCGCTGCGGCCGCGACCCCGACCTGCTCGATGTAAGCCTCGCCAGGCTGCAGGGTGTGGATGCCATATTGGTCCTGCATGGGATGAACCGCCACCTGCACGAAGCCGAGCGGCGTGCCATCCGCTCCCACGGCGATCCCACACATCGGCAGACGCTCTGGGTGGCGTTGGTAGTAGCGCAGCCTAGTGCCATCGGTGTCCGTGAACGGAAAGCAGATACAGCATCTCTTGCTGCCGAAGCCCTCGTTGTAAACGGCTGTCATTCCGGCCACGAGTTCCATCGTGAGCGGTTGCAAGCTCCAATCCGGAGAGACTCGTTCCATCGCATGCGTCGTCGGCGCCTCGCCGATGCCCACTCCCGTTTCCATGCGGGCCGTGCACGGACAGGCCCGCAGCTCTTCTCTCGCGCGTGAGCCACAAGAAAGCGAGGTGTCAAACTACCCTCAGCGAGACCTCGGATTCGAGCGCGCTGGGTTCCGGCTCCTACCCAGACAGGGGGTCTGTTTACCACGGTTAGACCCTATGCGCTAGGTAGGTAGGCCCGGTTTTGACCGCCCCAGAGGGCCCCGCACGTCTGAACCACACGTGTCCCTCCATTTAGGCTGTACGAGGTTTTCCTCTCGCACCCCGTCTGTTTTCCTTTCCTTTTTTCTCTACAGCACCCTCTCTTTTCCTCTCTATTTCCCGAGAAAACTCCGTGGAAATCGTCAAATTTTTGGCTCTCTGAGCCGAGTCTGAGGCTGGTTTGGGCCCAAAATCAGCCAAATTTTAGGCCAAATCGTCAAAATGCCGGGAATTTTGCGGAGAACCCGTGTAGACCTGGGAATTACCCTGCGACCGCCTGGGTATTTTGTCGATTCCTCAATTTTGCCTTAGATTTTGCCCCAGACCAGCTTCTCAGACTCACTCAGGGAAACTCGCGAGTTTCCAGAATGGAGCACCAAACACCCTCTGTTTTCCCTGGAAATTTCCGGAAACGAAAAGTGCTGGGGACCCTCTGTTTTCCTTTTTGTTTTCCGGAAAACCTCGTACAGGCCACAACCCTCCATTCACACTCTCCCAGTCCTTCCTGGTCTAGTGCCCGTCTTCTCCGCCCGTCGTACTGAGTTGGTCGCACCTCCGTGCATCTTCGTCCTTTAGACGTTTCACCTAGAGCAAGCAGGGCGGCACGCCCCCAGGTCCACCCGCCAGCCGGGTGGGGCTTGCACGTGGCAGCGGCTCGACTGGTCGCGTCAGCCCTTTTGTGAAGCCCGACACGCTATCCCTGCTCAGGCCATGCCTGACACGCCCACCAAAAACTTGGAGCATTCCGAAACTCGGGATCTCCTGCAAGGCGCTAAACAGAGTGCTGATGCAATGCTGACGGAGTGCAAGTTCGTTCCGGCCACCGCCCCGACGGGCTCGCGGCGAACCTAGCCACTCTCCTCGAATGGAGCCGACTGCAAGACACCGACGGCATCGGCTTCTTCTTCATCACAAATGGCGCTGTCTACATGGACAACATTGCGCCCACCGTTTGCTGCACCATCCCCGATGCGGTGCGCTGCGCGCGCCACGAGCTGAAGCAGCTCAAGCCGCGTGACTTTTCCGAGATCATCCTGGGCGGTTTTGGGGAGTCTGGGGGGGGGTACTTGAAGGTGGTAAAAAGAGTTTTGCACCGCAGCTTAACCGGCGGGCGTGCTGAGCAGCGTGAAAACAGAAGGACAGAGCTTATCTCCTAGGTAGCTAGATCGGGATAGCTCTCGAGTACGCGAGCGAGCCGCGTGGCAGTAGAAGCAGTCGCAGCAGAAGATGCCCTGCCCGCATCGCCCCCCCTTGCTTGCGTGGACTGTGAACACGTGGCAGTAGAAGCAGTCGCAGCAGAAGATGCCTTCCCCGCTGGCATCGATCGCCCACCTCGTCTCTCTTCACAGCCTTGTTATTGAGAAGAAAATACTTATGGCGCTGTGCGCTGGCCTGTGAGATTCACAGCCTTGTTATTGAGAAGAAAATACCTCCTATGAAAGGTCGGCATGCCTGGCATGTCGGCTTACTAGGCAGGTCATTGACCTCCCCCCCGCTTGTCCACCCGGCGTGAGGGGCGGGAGCGCAGCCATTCCAACGGCCGTGCATGCATCTGCATGCCGGCTTACTAAGAATGTCCCTCGCTCCTGCTCCTCTCTCGGAAGACGCGCGCCGGCCTGGGGGACTCGCTTGCGATCCCGCTCCAGCCAGAGGCCGCGTGAGGCGTGTGGGGCGGTGTACGCTGGGGCTGCCTCGGCCCCAAGTGCGCTGGCCTCGCGTCTCGAGGGGAGGGCGGCTCGTAACTGAGGTTCGCCGTCAGAGACAGTCGTCCTCCCCTCAACCCGACGAGAGTGGGCGGGCAGTCCCCGTGGCTGCAGTCGCGCTTCCGAGCCGACTCCGCCCCTCTCTCCACCCTCTCGGCCATTCCAACGGCCAGACCGCTCGCTTAAGGCTGATTGGCTAGACGAGCGGTCTACCTCCATGGGGCTGTTGGCACGGGGGGAGGTGTCAATCACGCTCCCAGGACGCCGGAGAGATCGGGTTGGTCTCCCCCGCCTTCAGCCCTGACCCGACGGGGACGCCACCACCCTCGCCCAGGGATCTACAACGCTGTCTCAAGGTCCGACAGGTTCGGCACCGGGCACCGCCTCGGTATACAAAATGCGCCTGCGGGCGGACCCTTACAGATCACAGATCACCTCCTATGGCGCTGTTTCACAGGGGCCGGGCGGGGACGTCTGCAGTCCTGACAGCGACTCGAGTGCTGGTGGCGAGAGTACCGATCCGCTCCCGGGTTTCGCCGCTACGCCGGGGGCCGCGACCGATCACACACACATGCCGCTCGCTCGCCGCGGCGCCCTCGCGTGCGCCGCTCTGCTAGCGGCCGTGCTGGCTGGACAGCCAATCGAAGAGCTCATCGAGCGTGCAGTGACCTGGGCTAACCCAATGAGTGACCGCAGCTCCGACTGGCTCGTGCTCAAGTATGACGTGCTGTCTGCTCTCGTGCCATTCACCAACCGTGTGCGCTGGTCGTCTGACCGGGCGCACGACACGATGCACGCGGCGCTGTGGAATGGGAGCGCGTACGACGTGCAGGTGACCAACCGGCTGCTGTGGAACCGCACCCGGCATCTCGCACCAGAGCGGGTGCTCGACGCCGGCTGTGGCTGGGGCGGCACCGTCTTCTTCCTGGCGGAGGCGCGGCGCCGCGCGGCTCAAGGCGACGCCGGGGCAGCCGTTACCGCCACGTACGACGGCCTCACGCTCTCCACCACTCAAGCCGCCACCGCTGCCCGCACCGCCACCGCCAAGGGCCTTGCCGGCTCGTGCCGCTTCGTGGTGGCGTCATACGAGGCGCCGCTCGCTAGTTCGACATAGTAGCAGCAGCCACTTATTAAGACTATGGCAACCGACTCCCGGTGCCGCTCTGTGAGGCGTCGCTCCAGGCGTCGGCTTACGGTCCCAGTCGTCTCGGCATGACGAGATTGCCGCTCCAACACAAACTGATAGGCGCCTCTCGAGCAAGCGGCGTACGATCTCATCGTGGCGATCGAGTCGCTCGAGCACGCGAGCGACCTCACCCGTTCGCTCGCCAACTTTGGCCAGGCTCACGGCCCACCCACACGCGCACCGAGCCTCGCACTTTAACGCCGTGCGGGGCTCCTGTCGTCTCTAGACGTGGAGTCGCGAGGGCTGCCCTGGCCCTTGCCCCGCCACTGTGTGTGGAGAAGCTAACCCCACCTACCCTCCCTTTGGCCAGGCGCTGCGCCCAGGCGGCGCACTCGTTGTTGTCACGGACCCGCTACCACCCACGAGTGACTCATTGGTGTCTCACTGGTTCTAGGCGGCACACTCTTCGTCGTCTCGGAGCCGGCTGCTTAGAAGCAGAGCGCGAGGCCGTCTTCTCGCAAGCACACAACCCCAAGGACCCCCCCCTCCACCCACCCTTTCTCCCACGCACGCACGGAGCGTAGAGAGCCGCAGTCAGACCGGGGACACGCCCCGGCGACGGGAATGCCTGTCACGCCGTTAGGACCTGCTCCGCACCGCCGCCACGGGGACGTGGTCGCACCACTTGGGTGCTCTCCACGCGTACTGGCGAGAGTACCCGAGATTGCCCGAGATGACCCCGCGTGCACCACGCTTACTCGGCTCCTCAACACTCACACACGCACACACACACACACACACACACACCCTGCCCGACCCTTGCGCGGTGTACCCACTCCGCCGCTGTGTGCAGGCGACACTGGTCCGGCTCTAAAAAAGAAATGCCCACGAAAAGAAGTACGCGCGGCGCGAGTAGGCGCCACTGGTGCGGGCCTCAGACGGCGGCGTGGGCACCGCCGGCCGACACCGCGCGGTGGCAGGTGGAGATGTGGGGAGATGTGGGGAGATATGGCGAGATCTGGCCCCGCCGGTCGACACCGCGCAGCGGCAGGTGGAGATGTGGCGAGATGTGGCGAGATGTGGCGAGATCTGGCCCCGCCGGTCGACACCGCGCAGCGGCAGGCGGCGCTGCAGTGTGGTAGCTGTAGCAGGCAGGGTTGGCAGGTGGCGATCGCTGACCGCTGCCTCGCCGTTAACCTGCTGCCTCGCCTCTCCCTCACCGCGCAGCCCCCTCCCCTTTGCAGGCGGCGCTGGAGCAAGCCGGCCTCTCTTTGACGTCAACCGTCGACCTCGGCGAGGAGTACGGGCTGAGGCACCGTCCCTGGGCGACCCTGCTGCCCCCATGCTGGCTGGTGACAACGGGCTCGTTGACAAGTCACCATGCTGGCTGAGGACTGAATAGGCGACGCTGCTGCCGTGTTGGCTGCTGCTGCGAGCGGCGTACTTGCTCTCCCTGCCGCTGCCGCTGACCACGCCCGAGGCGTACCTGTCAAGCTACGTCGGCGGGCTGGCGCGCGAGATCTAGCAGTAGCAGGCAGCCTGACTCCCAAAGGTCGGACCCTGTCCGCGCCCAAGCATGGTAGCGACAGCAGACGTGGATTAGACCGGGACGGGACAACGGGAATTGGCGCGCGAGATCTCGGTTATATCTCGGCTATACCTCGGGAATAGGCACGCGAGATCTTGCTCCGCGACGGGGCGATCGCCTACACCGCGTTGGAGGCGCGCCGCCCCTGACGGCCATTACCCCTTTCGGCGTCGTCGCGCATTGTGGTTGCTCGGCCCGGGCGGCGAGCACTGTTTATTTTCCCTGACCTTATCCTTACGGCGTACGGGATTTTCGACTCAGAATTCTTCTTTGTCATTTTTCGCACAGGCCACAGTCCCCGTGCCCAGTGTTGTGCGAGGGAGCCGCGACCATAAAATTCTTTTTCGCACGTCGTCTGCGCCTTGTCTGTCGTGTGAACCTCAACCTCTCACAGACCAGCCTGCGGCAGCGCACAGCGCCATAGGACGTATTTTCTTCTCAATAACAAGGCTGTGAATCGTGCGTAAAATTCTTTGTACTTTGAGAGCGCCTTCGTTGTTAATAATACAAACCGATGTCGGAGCACTTGGAGTGCAGTTATTTGCCGCACGCCCAGGACCGGGGAGCCCAGAAGCGCACCCAGTTGGCCGGACGATTGGCGGCCGCAGAATTCTTTTTGAGCTAGACTTCGATGTTAATAGAAACAAGCGAAGGTACACACGATTGCTCACACCGCACCGCCCCCCCCCGCACCCCGCGCCCGCCCCCCCCCCCAAGAAAGAAAACAGACAACTCAAGGGAGGGATGCGGATGGGAGGACGGCACGCCGCCACCACACAGGGATTTCAAGGAGAGAAGTGCGGTGCTAGCCTGCGACCATCCTCGGGCGCCCACCTCTTCCGCGGTTCGCAGTTTCTCGCGCAATTCTCGCAGCGACCTTCATGCCACCTCGTGGTCGTCCCACTCTCGTCCTCGTTCTCTCTCCTGCTGTTTCATTCTCTGACTCATCGCTCTCCTTGGCCTCGTTCTGAGACGCCGCTGCCGTCTGCCGATCCCTTGCTCTCGCTGCTCTCTCGCCTCTCGCTCGGCGTAACTCCGCCCTCCTCTCGGCATATTTTGGCCCCTCGAGTTTATCGAGCTCTCCTCGCGCAAGGACCACATTTCTGACTCCCACTCCGATCATTTGCCTCCAAGTCATGTCGTTGCTCAGGTCCACTCTCTTTTCGAGCACTTGTACCTCAACGGTCGGTGTTGGCACTGGGGTTCCCTTCCTTCGGGTACGGGTATATCGTGACAGCTGACGGCGGGATTACCACTGGTGTTTCGTCCGCCTCGGAGTCGTCTTCCCCGGCTTCCTCCCGTTCGGCTCTATACGTTCAGTACGTTCGGCGCCCCACCGCCCGGCCTAGGTCGGAAAGACATTCTTTTCGCACCTTGAACGATATCGGTGAGGGGGTTGTAGACGCTCTGAGGCCTCAGACCCCCCTCTGAGGAGGGTCGGACCCCTGGCTTGGCGGCACAGAGGGTTTGACTCTGACTCTGTGCCGCCTCTGTGGCCTCTCTTGGCTGATTTTGGCCTCAGAGGGTCCCCGTCCGAGGGTCTGTCTTGGCGCGGCACTGAGGGCGTTGACCTCAGAGGGTAGCCCCCTCTCGGCAGACAGAGGCGAGAGCCCCGGGCGGAGGCCGGAGCGCCTAGCCCTCCACGAACGGCGCTGACCAGGGAGGGCGGGGAGGGGGCGGAAGCAGCGAGCATTGACTAAGGCGCTATTCTATACGCTTCGAGCGCCCGGCACCACACACGCCGCTTGCTGCTGCTGCAGGCTCGCCCACAGCGCCCGCACCGAGCCCTGCGCGTGCGACAGCTTCGCGCGGCCAGCGGCGCCGCCGACCCGTCAACTTGAGTGAGGATGTGCTTGGAGCGGCCGCCCGAGGAGGAGGTAGTGATCTCCACATCCGTCCCCTGCTCCAGCTTGGCCATGAGGCGCCGCGGCGTCCTAGTGAACTCGAACTTGAGGTATCCGAAACCAATGGAAGCTGGGCCTGCTGGGGGGGGTTCTTGCTGCTTGGTCCTTGGTGGGGGATCACGACAGACTTGAAATACCGCTGAAAACTCCCTCTGAGGAGCGGCCTCGCGGGGCTTGCCTTGGCGTCTCAGAGGGTCCCCGTAGCCTCAGAGGCTGCGCCGAGAGAGGCTGCTTGGGGGCACAGGCCTTCAGAGGGTCGGCCCAGGTACCCTCTGAGCCGCTCGTGGATGGCCTCTCTTGGCACAGAGGGTACCCTCTGAGACGAGCAGATCTGGGCCCCCGCCTCAGACCCCTCCCCCTCTCTCTGAGGTAGGTAGGTAGAAAGGTGAAGAACAGTCAGGCTCGGACTGGACACCAGCGCGTTATGGGTGGACGCGGGACAGATGATGACGACACGCACGAGCGACACACAGACACAAAAACAAGCTCACAAGACACACAGCCAGCGTGGCTGCCACACACCCTGAATCGGCGTACACATAACTCAGGGCCACATCCTCCCTGTCGCCCCCCCCACCCAGCCAGCCAGCCAGCAAGCACTCCAAGGTGCCAAACAAAGGAACAAACAAGGCCACAACAAACAACAGACGACAGCAAGTAACATGTGAGACTAGAGCAGGCTTGCTCCGCCTCTAGCAATCTCGCCGCCGGCGAGGCACGGACGAGACCGTGTGTGGGGTCAGTCAGGTGTATGTGATATGCGACCCCCTGTGAAAAGTTGCTCTCGGCTCGATCGGTGTCGAAACACTCTGACAGCGCTCACGAGCTACACAGCCGGCTGGTTGTCGTACCGATGCTGATCCTCGCCGCGGCCGCCGGCCTCCAGCTGCCCGTAACCGCAGCACGGCGCAGCTCCATTCTCTGCTGCGCGCCTTCCGACACGGCCACCGACGCGGAGGTGGACGATGGCAAATCCGCTGCGCTGGTGGCGGACCTACGTCTCAGCGCGGCGCGAGCGGAGCGCGGCTTTCGCGTCGACGGCGCACTCGAGGAGCTCCGCCAAAAGGTGGAGGCGGTCGAGGCTGCCAATCCTGAGCCGGAGCCGGTCGACTCGCCGCTGCTGTTGGGCGAGTGGGACCTCGAGTTCACCGACGCGTTCGACGTCCTCAGCCTCGGTCTCTCGCCCCTCGAGGTTGGACGCATCTCGCAAAACGTCCGCGCCGGCGCCTCTGCGGGCGAACTGCAGGCCGAGAACATCGTCGAGCTGCTGCCGCCGCTCTCGTCGCTCGCGGCGGCCGCCTCGCTTCAGCTGCCTCGCGCCGCGACCGAGTACTGCGTCGGCGCCACCTGCCGTCGCCTTAGCGGACGCCGCGTCAGCCTGGTCTTTTCGAAGCTTCGCGTGCGGCCGTGGCTTCCCTTTGTGCCGTGGGGCTTGCCAGACGGAGTGAGGCTGGAGGCGGCTCTGCCTTCGGCGGCCGTTGACGCGCTCGAGAGCCTGACGAGCAGCGCAGTCTACCTGGAGACGACGTACCTGGACGAAGGGCTGCGTGTCGCGAGGGGGCCGGGCGGCGAGATCTACGTGCTCGCGCGCAGGAGATGACGCGCTAGGGCCGGCTGGCGCATGTCGGGCGCGCGGAACGCCTTTGGGGGGTCGTGCGGCCGTCGGCGCCCTGCGCGTAGTCTCCCTGATGGCGTGGTGGTCTGCCTCATTATTTTTTCTTTTTCCTATTGCGGGGACTTCTCGGCAACTTCTCGTCCGTGGGATATCAATATCACTTATCTCGATTAGTAAACCCGAGACACAGACACACACACACACACACACACACACACACACACACACACACACACACACTTCGCCAACCAATCGGCCACCACTGTCACCGCTTGCGCCATCGCCACCACCGCCCTTGCTGCCGCCGCCCTCACCGCCGTCATCCTCCTCGCTGCCGCCTTTGCGGCTGCCATCATCGCCCCCGCCACCGCCGGCGCCACCGTCGCCACCACCATCCTCCTCCTCCTGATCCGCCGCTCCTTCGGGGAGTTCCGCCGCCACCGCTGCGCCACTTACATCCAAGCTTTGGCGAGGGGCCGTGAGACTCGGCTCGTGCTCCATTGGCGCTCGGGCAATCTGCGCTGGAAGATGCAGTATCTCGGCTGGCTCACTAGCCGCCCAGCCGCTGCCGCCCTCGACGCTGCCACCGCCGCCGCCGCCTGCCGCCGCTCGCACCGCCCGCCCGCTTCCACCATCAAGGCATGTCGAGCGGCCGTCGACCACAACTTACATATTGCACCTACCACTATCCAAGCCTGTGTCCGCGGCTGGATCACACGCCGATCCGCGGCCGCCGCCACCACCGCCGCTGCTGCCCTCGTTGCCGCCCGCGACCACCCACATTACCTACCTGCCTCCGCCATCCAAGCTTCCGTTCGAGGCTGGCTGGTCCGCAGCTGCATTCTCCCCGCGAGCACTCTCGCCGACGCCCTCGCCGCCGCACGATTGTCCGGCGCCCTCAACGCTCATAGTGGCCCATCAGCCATTACCACCTCCCACCTCTACCTCGAGCCGCTGATCAGCAGGATCTCTTGGGTCTACTGCTTGCGCTGGTATACGCCGAGGACGCCGGGGACGCCCGCCTTTTGTGGCGCTCCGTACACGCTCATTGCCGACGCCCTCTCACTTCCCGAGCCTTACCCACAGAGCACGCACACAACAATGCCCACGAGTGCTCGGCAGAGGGGGCAACGGAAGCGGGCTCTGGCCAAGGCGGAGCAGCAATGGCGCTTCAGAGATCACGTGCGTCAGCAATTTGGCGTCATCTCCCACCTCGAGATATCTGGCTACCCTCTGTACCGCGATCATGACCCCATGTATGCCCACCGGCCCACCGGCCCCCGTGGGTTCTACCGGAGGTCCTCGCATTACGATCGCGCGCGTCTCAAGGCCCTAGGCCTAGACCGCCAATACACTTACGCCCCCCGCTTCCCCTCTGGCCTGCTCGAGTCTTTGCGCGCGAACCGCTCCTCTACCAAGGACGCGCCACCCACCGACGGCTCCCCCGAGGACACCTCCTCGGGTGATGACTCTTCCGACGACCCTCCGTCTGACGGGGACGACCATCTCGCAACTGCTCTTGCAGAGGAAGCCGCCAACCGTGCCCTCGAGCAGTCCCTCGACAAACTCGCGTCTCAGCCCCGCCGGCCACAGCCGCGCCGCGAGCGGCCTGCTCGAGGGGACCCTGGCCACTGGGAGGGGATCATTGCCCACACGCTCTCGCATTTCCGCCAACGCCATCGCCCTGTCTCAGAGGCCACCGCCTCCGAGCTCCCCGCCGGCCCTTCTCTCACACAACTGCCACCGCCACCGCGCG